ATAGGTATTTAGATATGTTATTTGGTCACTTATTCACAGCTCGGTACAAGAGGGATGGCTGCAAATATTGTGCTGACGTCCTCTACTGATATCTTTAACCTGTGTTCAAATCAATACGATCACAGGACAGGAAGCATCACGGTAATTTAGAAATATAGGTAGGTGCTTAAAAATTACAAAATTCAAAACCTGTGGATTAAACAAGTGGGTGTCACTCAGCTGTACAGTAGGTTAAAAGTGGGTAATTGTAATGGATGGTGTTAAATTTGAATTCAATGAAATATTATCATTGTATAAGGAAAACGATTCTGACGTTTAGTCAGCCTATGATAGTACTAAGTACATTTGATGACAATATTATTGTGAATAAAGAAATTTATAAAATAGTATAACCTATTTATATGGAACCTTGTTTTAAATTTTAAATTTAATTTTATACATTTTATACAATTTTAACAACAAAATAGTTAGGTACTAAATTTTAAATTTGATAAATTTTGTCAAAAATCGAAATTTAAATTTTTATAAAAAAAAGTGGTGGCAACTGCTGTTGCAACAATATACCAGGAGCCTTGTATTAAGTTTATTAACACTTTCTGACCCAACAAATAACATTTTATTGATATTTATAGAAAAAAAAAAAACTAAAAAAAATTGAAAACTGACAATGTCTGTAAACAGCTCTAAAAGAGTCAACATTTTATGGTGTATAGATAATAAATATAAATAATATAAACATTTAGTGACATTTTCATGTACCTATCTACATTTATTTGTTTTTCAATAACAACAAAATAAGAAAATATCTACTTGAGAAATCGAGTGAATAGCCTCCAATGACCAAAGTTGTAAATATATGAACTTCAAACGCTCATAAAAATTTAATTTGACTTTCTTTTGGTCATTGTTTTTTTGATAAAAGTATACAATCTTATAATTAATCTCGAATTATAGTTTAAAATCTTAGAATTAAATAGAAAAGTGCTTATGAATTTCCAACTCAAAATAATTTGCATATTTTCGTGATTTGTACGTATTTTGCCCAGATTTTAAGTTCAAATGTTTATAAAAACAAAACTGTGATCATGGTTTTTTAATATCTTTCAAACGTCATTGTAACAATAGGAGCCTTGTATTAAATTTTCAAGCTTTTTTAGCCAACAAATAAAGTTCTATTGACATTCTGCACGAAAAAAACATCTAACAAATTTGGAAACTGAAAATGTTCGTGAACAGTTCAAGAAGAACACAAACAATTTTGAAAATATTATCTTGCTTTGAAAACTATTGGGAATTTTAAATTTTGATCTCCCTAATGCTCACCAACTAGATTCGCTTTCCCATCTTACCGTCGAAGAAAATCGAAGCGGTTTTACCGCCTCAAACGGTGATGACAGACACAAAAATTTAAAAAAAAATCTAAACAGTACACATCGTTGTGAAATCAATTATACATCCGTCGCTCCGCTCGAAATCTAAAATATGAGCTCGTGGTCGGCGAATCACCTTGCGTGTATAATATTATACCCATTACCAAGTACCTATACAGCTAGTGCTACCTCGAGCTGGTACCCACTTATACACGAAGTGTCGAAATCGCATATATATTGTTATTATTCTATAACACGTCGAACGTACAAATTACGACGATAATATATCATATCGTTATTAGGAGAGCAACAGGTCGTCGTCATAAAGTATAATTTGATGTATCGGTCTCGCATATCGACACCGCGTTATAATATCATATTATTATTACGTACTTACTCATATATATATATATATGTAGGCATATATACTCGGGTATAGGCGTGTCGGTTACCGCGGTATAATACTGTGCACACACACACACGCACATGCATATATGAATATCCGTTATGTTATTATTATTATTATTATAATATGGTACGCGCGAGAAATCGGTGTATACGCACCCGCCCTGGTTACCGAATCGCGAGGCGAATATAATGACTACCTGTACCCGGGTATAGGTATATACGGTATTATTATAATGCGATAATATTGTAATGTACTGTTACGACGTGAGCGCGTGCGTTCGACATGTGCGCGGGACCATCTGCGTCGCGCGCGCGACCGAATTTTTATTTATTTTTTTCCATAGAAAACCGCCGCCGCCGCCGTGCTCTCGTTTATTGAAAGACCGTCTCGGCGTATATTATTATACATATGTGTAAAAAAAAAATATATATATCGAGTAAGTGCCCAATCCCCCCGCACACCCCGTTATTTATTTTTCGACGGTGCACCCGGTGGCTTCGACGTGCGCGGGAGGTGGGTGGAAAAAAACGAAATCGTTTATCGCGGTGTTATACGAGCCGACGATAGAGCGTAATAATATATAATATAATATGGACCTATGACGTGGTATGTGTTTAAACGCCGCCGACCGATATGATATTATTATGAGGTACCTACCTGTGACCAGGTGCCGACAACCCCGGGGCCACGGGACCAAAACGCTGTTCGTAATAATTTAATAATACAATAATAATATGTAATATCGTTATTACCGTCGTCGTGGCGGTGATATCGGGTACTCCAGCTATATACATATACAGGTAAGTACCCTGTATACCATATATACCAGCCACGACCACTGCGATTTAATGGAAGCACGGAGATTAACCTTTTTTTTTTTTGCTTTTCGATTTTTTTTTTTTTTGTAATCTTATTACCGACACTCTCCGACCCTCTCCCGCGGCTCGGTAACGAGCACGTGACGCCGAGTATATATCACGCTCGTGTCAAAAACGATGGGCCCAGGACACGTAATAAATACTTAAGACTGCAGGTACCCATGATACCTATATATACCTATCAGTATACCTATCCCTATACCTAGGTATACGGTGTTGCGTGTCGTATAGGCGTACCGGCTAAACGATAAAAATTACAATATTATTGTTGTTATAACCGTGAGTTATATTAGAGCACTATAATTATACAAGTCCATATTATATATGCCTACAGTGGCGTCCGCAGGTGGGGAGGGAGCTAAAGGGCTAAAGCCCCCCCCCATTACCCGTATTGTTATTACTTTTTCAAAAAAATATCGATCGAGTTAAACTGTCAACCATAGTAGGCGAGACGTAAATTTCAAATATGTCTTACCAGAATGAATTCATTTTTGAAAAAACATTGTATTTGTCACATACCAATTTTCATAAATTATCTGTAATTTTTCGTATGGACTATTTGTATGGAAGACATTGTATTAAATTGTCTAGCCTTAGCCATACACATTTAATATTTTATAAGTTTTGAACTACAAGTTAACTGTGGTTTTGACGAAATTTGAACTTTAAATGCTTATATAAAAATAAGCATGATGCCTATGTATCGTTAATATTTTAGCTATAATAAAAAAACATTACATTTTTAAGCTTTTTGACAGGATAAATAATTTTCTATTGACATTTATAGACAAAAAAAAAAATTTAATTATTCAAACACAATCCAAGTGAAGACGGTATAACCAAACATTTAAATAAATTTTCATTATTTTTTCTCAAATTATTTTTGAAAACAATGAGCATTTTCAATTTCAACCTCCTAATAGTACCCACCTAGATCCAATTTGCTTCCAAAAACATACACTCAGCATCGAAGCTTATGATCAGAGCATTTATTCTACCAGAAAAGTTGAAAAGTTACAAATATTTTAAAATACCTCAAATAAACGTCTGCAATTATTAGACCGGACAAAATGAAAAGAAAATTGTAACTAATTTTCAAGCCCCCCCCCCATTGAAAAATCCTGTGGACGCCACGTAGATCACTTTGTACGGTCCGTAGTTTAAAATGCATAATGTGGACACTTTGTACTATTTTATGTATATATATATAAAGTATATACTATTTAATATATCGTATAATATATTATATCAAGTGGGTATAATTTTTTTTGTTGGTATTTTACCGAGAAAAATGAATACCATCAATTCTGTAAAATTGGTCAAATTGGATATTTTTGGTACGCACACCCCCACTAAACTCCTCTCTACCCCTATTTCACGAACTTGTATAATCATGGTAAAGTTTGTTTTTATCGTTTACTTAATAGTACAATAATTATAATTGCATAGTTTTATAAGTATCTATTGTTAGTGTATTGATGACTGCATAGATTTTAAATAAAAAAAATTTAATTGCGAATTGTTTCGAATCAAATTCATTAGTTAAGTACTACGCTGTAAAATTCAACAACGATCAGTGATACTATCATAGATCATTTTTATGTACATATACGATATAACACGCAATGTCGAAAAAATCAAATTTATCAATTAATGTGGTGGTAATAACACTTTCTATCAGTTTAGTTGTGAACTTTTGGAGGTTATATTATATTATAGTGTTTGAAAATTTCAGGAAATTTAAAAAAATTAATTATTTCAAAAGAGTGAAATATTTCACTATCTTAATAAATTTTGTTTTATTTTTAAATAAGTTTTATGTTTACATATAATTGTAATAATTCACCTTCATAACTGCATCTGCATGGTACCTGAATGTATGAACCTAACCTTTGGTATTACATATACCTACATTTAAAATGGTATTCAAAATGTTTAAATGATACAAGTAGGTATACAATATTATACATGATGTATACCTACTGAATTCTTACAATACAATTTAGAACACTGAACATTGTGTTAATAAAAAATTTAATGTTTCACGTTTTTGTCAAACATTTCACCTTATAGCAGTCTCTAAAATTGTGTGTACTACGACACAATTTGTGTAGTACGAAATTTAAAAGTGTGTTGTTCTAATTAAACCTTTATAACAATACTAACTGAGCCTGTGCACTTCGTTAGCCGTTAAATGAACCAAATCTATGTGTGACTCAAAGTTTGTTCAATTCGTTATTTAATATTCAGTGTATGGTGTTCAAAATTTATCTTAACTTTTCCGTTGCCCGGAATAAAAATTCTGATTCGCAGCAGTATAATATTATCACTGATAATAATGCAATGGTTGTTTTGTGGCCGAATGGTATTAAACACAATAATGTACTTTTACTTTTAACGGACGCCGCGCCGTATATTATGTGTAAGGCGGGAAAAGTGTTGGACACATTTTATCCAAGAATAATACATTTAACTTGTCTAGTACATGGTTTTCATCGTAAAGCTGAAACATTTAGATTTCAATTTTCAGAAGTTGATTCGTTAATTTCCAACGTAAAAAAAATATTTTTAAAAGCGCCAAGTCGTATACAAACATTTAAAGATATGTACCCGGATTTAACTCTACCTCCCGAGCCTATTATAACTCGATGGTGTACGTGGTTATCAGCTGTATTATATTATTCAAATAACTTTGAAAAGATTAGAAACGCTGTCTTAAATTTAGATCCCTAAGCTGCAATAGCAATAAAAAAAACTGTTCAGCTCATAGACAGTAAAAATTTGCAAAACAATTTAGCATTTATTTCGACTAATTTTGGATTGTTGGTTGATACTATTTCAAAATTAGAAACTTCTAAAATGCCAGTAACGGAGAGCTTAGAAATAGTTGATAACGCCATAAAGCAATTAGAACGGGTTCCTGGAGAAATTGGAGTTTTGACCAATTCAAAATTAAAAAATGTATTGGAAAAAACACAGGTTTTAATACTGTAATGTCAATAAGAGACATACTATTAAACAAAACTCCAAATAACAAATATTCAGAAATTGAATACACTCCAAAAGAAATAATGTGTATGAAATATGCACCTGTCACGTCCGTTGATGTGGAGAGGTCATTCAGCCGTTACAAAGCAATGTTAAGACCGAACCGCCGCCACTACACATTTGAAAATTTCAAGCTATATGTTGTTTCTAACTGTTTCCCACATGAAGACTATGATGAATCAGAATAGATTTTTAATTTTTTTATATTTTTAATTAATTCTTTAATAATTCTATGTTATTTTCAATTTAAATATTTAAATATTATACATTTATAAATAAATATTTATTAAGTAATAAACAAATATATATATTTAAATATTTTTAATTTTATACTAAATTAAAATCCGTTCCCTAATTATCAGGTAGGCAACCTACCTGAGGTAGACGCGGACCCCGTGATGTTTGTAAATAAGTGTATGATTTAACTCTAAACTATCAAAGTTATACTAAGTTTGTCGTATTCCATGGATCAATATAATCAGTTAATACAAAATCCTGACCCTACTAATATCAGATGAATGAAAAAAAAACCAAATTTAACCATTTTTTTAATTACCTAGCCTGTCTTTTTCCCAGAGGTCTAATCTACACACAAACATTCATTTATTTATATAATATATATTGACAAAAAACAACAATACAAATCAACAAATATGCCTGATTCACCAATAGCAATCAATATATATACACTGTTTCGCCACTGTTGTATTTTTTACATCCAGATTTCCTACTTTTCCGGTGAATTTTTATAAAATTGTCTTTCTTAATAACCTTCTTCACCTGGCAATTACGAACATCTAAAAAAAATTTGAGCCAAATCGGACCAGCCGTTCTCGAGTTTTAGCGAGACTAACGAACAGCAATTCATTTATAATATATATATATAGATGTATAATTTTTATATCTTCATATTTTTTTTTATATTTTAACGGTTTTTTGCCAAACCATATTTTAATTATTATCTACATTCTACGCAGACACACAGTAAACAATATTTTGTATTGTGACGTCTTATACTCTTATTATATAGTCATTATTACAAACTATTCATTGTTATTGAGAGTAGCTATTTTTATAATTATCAGTGAACTGTGGTATATGGTATACTATAGTGTTTATCTAGAAATAATTTAGATTTGACCGATTTGGGAGTTTGGAACTATGTGTGTAGTACGAAAATTTGGATATTTTGGGGATTGCCATATAATGAAATATTTCATAACAATAGTTATATATATATTTACATTTTATTAATATGTTTAAAAATATTTACCGAGCTTATACAATATCTCTAAAAGAAATGTGTGAAGACATTCAATTTTTTTTTATTCATATACAGAAATTGTCAAGCAGTCACAAGTCACATAAGTCTCTTGTCAAACAATTATGCCTATAAGAGGGAAAAACGATTCTTTTAAAATTATACAAAAGTCGTCGTTAGTATATTGTTGCGTAATTATTGAGACTTTCTAAGAAAGCTAATACGGTTCAATAAAAAGTCGAAAAAATGAGCTTTTGCTATTGCAGCAACTATAACTATAACTGACAACATTCAAAGCCCCAATTATTATATGGCTGCACTATCACATAATACCGTCGTAATATTACTTACGCTCGCTGCACATTTTATATATTATATTATTATATTTTTGTGTATAGACTTTTATTTACGAACGACTGAGTCAGGTACAATAATATACGACATAGGTCCTATTATTGTCCGCGAAACAGTGAGTTCATGAGTACGTCGATGTTTATACCAATTAGGTAAAATATGTGCAAGTAGGGTTTCATTTCGACATTTCGTGAAATTTATTTTCTCAAAGTGTTAATTGTTCGTTTGTGAGAGAAATAAAAACCAAAAACCAAACCATTCGTTCGGCGGACTGCGACATACGAATTCTAATCTCAACATATTATAAAACAAAGTCCCTTTTTCTCTCCTTTTACTTAGATCTTTAAAACTACTAGACGGATTTTGATTAGACGGATGCCTCTTATTTTTTGCACGTACAAGCATATCTCGAAAAGAACTCTACTTATTTTAATACGATTCTCACTGAGACGGGGAAGGTTTTAAAAAAGTCAATGAAAGTCATTTCAATAGATTGTTATTTGAAAATTGGAGGGTGACTTTTCAACTCATATAGGCTGTAGATAGGTAAAGGGTAGCTCGAACATTTTTTTATAGCATTCGAAAAAATAAATTGTTTTTTGTCAATCTAAACGGTTTTGCAATTTGTTACACATTATATTAATATTATAATAATTAGAAGAAATATGGTGTATACATGTTATACAAATATATTTATTAAAAATACAAATATTTGGCCTGGACAACGTCGGCCGGGGCAGCTAGTAATAAACAAACGCCAACTATAAGATGCCACCGGAAATGGACATACTGCTCCACTAAACTAAATCACATCAAACGCGTACACCTGAAAATTGGACGTTCCCTATCGAAGTACCTGGAAAATTTGAAGTCGTGCCCTAACAAGACTCGGGGTCGGACACACTCAAATTTCACACTGTTTCTCAATGGCCAAGGAATAACTACCGGTACGCCCGGCCTGCACGGTGTCCAAGTCACCATCGAACTGCACTTTATCACTGAATGCCAAATACAATATCACGGCTATTAAAAGAGGTTTATATGTCTAAAAATTGTGAATATCATATAATATTATAATTATAATATGTATTCGCAGAGCAATGGCTCTCAACAATATGTTATGATGTTATCCAGTTGGTTTATGAGTTTGTAACAGAGTTAAAAGGCAGTTTTTAAATTTGTTATATTAAAATTTATAGATTTGTTAAACAACTTAAAAATTATATGTAAATATGTTACATATTTTCTATAGTTTCGTACAACAAACAAACTTTTAAAAATGTTCACTTGGAATTTGACGACTGTAAATTTTTAGATATAGTATATATATTTTTTTATTTTTCATGGAAATGAAACATTTCATGAAATTTTAAAACCCTAATTGTACACAATCTCTATATGTACATAGGTACATATTATGAACTTACATATAATCGCGTTTAAGGAAATTCGAATTATAGAGTGTGTCCCGCCGACAGACATTTCGAATTATCGAGGGGACCGGAGTACATGTATTTTCTTCTAATTTATTATAGAGGTTTTCTCTGGGGACTCGGCGTTTAGTTCGATTAATGGAGCTTTTCGAATTATCGAGTGACTAATCTGTACTGTACTGCAACACTGGCTAAAATATTGGAGGAAAATAGACATAATTTTAGTCGAAAATAATCTGGGGGGAAATGGAAAACAAAATTTTTTTTGTGGGAGAAAACGGTATATCACTTTTGGAGGAAAACGGAACGGCCCTGTACGTAGGTAGGTAGGAAATATTCGTCTGGCAATTAAGACCATATCAGACGGACGTGGTGATAACAATAATAATTAGCTTCGTTTTTTTACGCCGTGACATTATCAGCTGTGAACGCATATTATTATGAAATGCACGAAAATTCATTTTTCTCTCGCTGCAGGTATATTCGACCGAAGCGCTTTTGTTTTTCAAACTGTTATTTCGATCAAACGAGCAAATATTTAAAAAAATGTTTTTATATTTTATCTCCGACAACAGACTGCAAGACATCAAAGGCCAGTAGTATTGCCATGCCGTGCGTGAAACTGTTTGTTTACCATTATATTTCGTTGTTTTAAAAAAAGGGTAATGGTGTTATGCAGCGCATCGTTTTAGGGGGAAAATCATAAACTATGAATGCGCGAGTTCACAACGACAAAAAATAAATAAAAATATTATCACAAAAAAAAAAAACTCGAGTTTCACTAATTAAAAATATTGTAATATGCGAAGTCATGAGTTTTCGACAAACTGCATCGTTATGGGGTAGGAGGTACCTTTAGAATATAAAACCTTTAATGTACGAAAAAATCAATCGGTTTTAAATGTTTTTAAAATCATATAATATTACTATGTTGCTTACTCAAAGAAACATATTTTTTTACTCACATTATTCAACCGGTAATCGTTATCTTTAACCATCATAATATACCCTTTTTGTACTCGTAGTAACGTTTAAAAATAATTGTAATTATATGATTTCTGGGTGTTTTTTAAATATAAAATTATCCAACACTGTAGATTCAAATCAGTTTTTCTTATTTACTTGTCAATTGATGTTTGAACATTTAACATGAGATATTAGAGCAACGGCCAGTGAACTTTTAAATTAAAGTCAGGAATCAATTGGAAACAATTCAAATGTAATTTTAGATTCTGAGCTGAGCGATGAATGTATTGATTTTACGATGATGTGTGTTTTTTTAAAAATTGTTTGTGTGTCTGTCATCACCTTTTAGGACAATAAAAGTGCTTGGATTTTCTTCAACAGTATCTTTTCTGATAGGAAATTGAATTCAGTTGGTACTTTCGGTGGTCAAAAGTAAAAATTTTCAAAAGCGCCATGAAAAACAAAAGAAAAATTAAGGAAAAATGGGAATTTTTACGCAAAATCGATTTTCAATAAAATCAATTTTAGTTTTTGGAGTAATTCTAAAACAAATGACTGTAGATACATGACATTTTGACTGAATGTTTATATTAGAATTTTCCATACACGATGATATTTCAAAATATTTTTACTTATTTTGAGCCGTTTAAGGACATTTTCAGTTTCCAACTTTTTTAGATTTTTTTCATGAATGTCAATACAATTTTATGTGTTGGGTAAAACAGCTTGAAAATGTAATAAAAATCTCACTTGCAAGTGGGTGCACTTGCCCAATTATTTTTTTATACATTTATTCTATACGGTAAAATTAATACATTTAATAAATATTAATAGTATAAATAAAATTGTTGTAATAAATTTAATTTATTTTTAAATCTTAAAAAACTCATAAAATGGAGTGTAATGGTTGTTGCATTGGACCCTTTAAATTATAAAATTACACACAATATGTTTTATTTTATTTTAATTTATTAAGACAATTTTATGTTGCATACTTAATAATTAATGATATACCAAAAAAAAACAACCACCTACCTATGTATTGTTTACTTTTTAAACATTTTTTACCCATTTTTTATAATGTGTTGTATTCGACCCATTCACGACTTCGGTAATAAGTCATTTTTATCGCTGCATTAAAGGCTGGAATTTCGATGCACTTTGCATTGTTTTC